ACAAACATACACAAACACAAATATATACATCGATGTATATATTTGTATTCAAGAAAATTTTGTAATAATAAAAATTTACTTACCAATAACATGCTTTTTCCGATAGCCTCGTGAGTAGTGTCGTTATATAAACAAAATGCTATTGGTAATGAAAGTGAAGAATAAGACCCTATTAGGAAAGTTTTATTCACATGCTATTACCGTACGCACGCTATATGCCTCCGTCACTTAATTGAAGCCACCAATTCTAACTTGACATTGAATACAAAAGTCTCACAAACAAGCATGTTCTCATCTTTAAGAATGACTCAGAGAATGGATTAACTATAGTTCATCATCGAATAGTAGCTCTCACAACTGTGAATTGTATTAGTTTTGTTTACGTCATAGTCATTATATTTTCGTTATTTTTCATAACGAATACACTTGTAAAACCACATTCCCGCACGCATACCAGTCTCTGAGAAGGCCAAATATTTTGTGATAAAATGTGAATATTGGATGGATCTGGGTGTTATTCGGTCCACTACATGCATTAGATCGATAACAAACATTATCGATGCACGCAGAGGAATTTGACAGAAACACCGACTTCGTATTATTTATTAAGTTCATCATCATTCCCCCAAACGCTATTTGTTTCAATACCGTTCATGGCAATGAAAAGGGTTGAAAAATAAAGCCATTGGGTGAACGATTTCCATTTGCAATGTTACCGTCCACAACCTTCTTAATATACCCCAGCACCACATCTTCACTTCCAGATGCCAATCTATAAATTCAAAAGAGAATTGAAGAAATTTAGGGACAAGAGAAAGAAGCGCAAAAAAATATTGGTTGCCCTATGAAAGGCTGATTTGAAAAAAAAGAACGCAAAAACAACAAAGTCCTTGATTATTGTAGTTCCGCGTAGAAAAAATAATAAGATCAATACTGTCATGAATATTCGCATACACATTCATATGCACGAAAGACATCATCAATTTATCTCAATGCCGCTAGCTGGATTAACAGATAAATACCCAAATGATTCCGTTGACTTTAACTTCACAGATTCAGAGCATGTGATCCAAAATTAAATGATTCAGCAGTGCACTATGTCTGCATGCAGACCATCCCCCCCCCTCCCCCTCCGAGGCCTACCGGGGAGCTTGCATGATCAAGTAGCGGATATTATTGTAATGTACATTAATTTCTGTCGAATTAATGTCTGACAAAGGAAAGCAAAAATATCCATCTGAAAATAGTCGTCGACTTGCAAATGTCTTTCTGGATAAGCCCTAATTTTTCTATATGATAATTTTGTGTTCTATAAGAATCATCGGTGCAAGTCCTTGTCAACAGTCACTTGCTTCTCAATTCTTTTCAGGGAAAAGTACAGAGACTATTTAACAGCTTGACTAACACGTATCACGCTAGATAACTGTACTCCATACGGATTTGAAGCAAGAAAAAAAACATTAAGATTATTCCGCTGATTGATATCACATGAGCTTATTTCTGAGGATTTTCAAGTTAAACACCTAGACTATGTCGTCTTTTTCGGCCTCCGATAGGTGTCACCCTGCTTTGCAGTTTTACATTTCCGCTTCGCTTGCTGCACACAAATCTGAAAAAAGTTACTTGAGATATCACTCCATATGTCAGGACTTTGCCTCGTCGAGCGACGTCAGTTTGTGAGCGCCATCATTATACCTGTAATGATTCTAGTTCTGAATATTGCAAATTAAAGTAATCTACTACCCATACACCAAGTTGAGTTTGCGATTAATGCTCCGCAGGGAAAGAAGGTCTCAGTTATTACCCCACCGACAAGTTTTTGCAGAAAGCCGGTCCGCAGAACCCATATTAGACGGTGTGACACCACAAATACGGCACATTGATCTAACAGAAGGGTGACCTAGCCTCGAGTTATGACAGCATCGCCAAGAGTTAAAAAGTCAAACAGCTCGGTGATAAAATTTTTACGGTCCTTTTTGAGGAAAGACTTCACTGCATCTTTATAAATGAGTGTGTGAATACACTTAATAATTCAAACTCTGAGGGTATAAATTCTTTTCTACGTCATGAAAACTGCTCTAGAAGCAAGACAGGAAACTATCCTGAACATCGATATCTTTTACCATGTGAATTAAAACATGCTCCTCGAGATGGCCATCTAGTAAAAGTAATAAAGTTTATCTTTAGATCTTAAAATATAAAACAAACCCTATCTAAATTCTCACTTAAAAATTGAATATACACATAAAAACGTTAGATAGAAAGTTGTATTATCAAGATAATTTTTGACCTACATAAGTAAATAAAGAGATAAAAAATAACATT